TAGTCGGACGGTCCAACTCGCAAAAGGGATAAGGTAACGGTCGCGATCGTGGGTCAAGTCCCAATTTCGGGTCAAGCTTGATAATATATTAAAAAAGTACACATTACATAGCTAAAACACGAACGAAATATTTTTATATTCTGTAATTTTATATTCTTTTTGTTTTATATTCTTTTATATTCTTTTGTTTTATATTCTTTTTGTTTTAATTCTAATTGTATTCCAAAGTCACTTTCACAAACATTGTTAATACTTAAGGAAAAGTCTAGAATATTATTTGGTTTAGCGACTGTTTTAATTTATAAAACTGTTAACAAATTGTGCCACGTATGTCATTATTCTACATGTATTCTGTATTCTACATGTATCTATTCTGTATGTCATTTCTACATAGACTATATTATATGAATATAACATTATTAATATAAAATTGGATATCGTATAATTCGAAATCACGCGAAATATTTGCCTGATCCATAATTGGGACTTGCTTACAAACGTTTCTATTTATTGATCCTTAAATTTAAAATGAATCAATTTGAAATCTCATTATGTTGCTTTCAAACTACGATGTTTGTCATTTATATCGGTATTAACAATTCCTCTTGATGTTTGGTCGACAAGTCTATGTAAATGAACGAAAGTTACTCTAACCTCAAATGACAATTAGAACACAATTAGAATTGTTCACAACTGTCCTGCGGTCTGTTTCCGAGTTATAATTTAAACGGAGAAAGTCCGGCAACTCTCGTTATTAAGAGATACGGTAGTATCTCGCGCCAAGTGTACGCACGAGGCGAGTACTATTACGCCGCACTCCTACTTGAGAGATGGCCAGAAAATCGCCAATCGCTGATCGGATCGAGTTCTAAGTAGGCTTAATCGATTCATCATGGCCCAATTACATAATATATGCGAAAAATATATTTATTTTTGCTCTGTGAGCTGAGTTATTCTGTCTCAAAGTGAAAAAATGCAAAATTTTATATTAAGATACGTCATCATCTATTCGATTCGGTCGAGCTGACAGAAGCGCGGATATGATACCACCGTGGCCAGATAGTTAGCTCTTCGAACTTAGAAAGAACTCCAATTATTTTGTCGTCGATCTCGCCGGCGATACGTAGCTTTTCGCGGCGGAAAGCGACGATTCTGCGGCCAACTTTCGACGAAAGTCGGCGAGTGGCATGTCCTTCTCGCGAGAAAAACAACGACTACAAACGGACGCCTCATAGAAGAAACAGATAATTCGGCTCGATGACGCGCTCGCGGCTCACGATCCACTTGATCGTCGGGAAAGAGAAATATTGCTCCCTTCCCAAAGGGAGAGTGGAAGAAAAGTTCGTCGGCGAAATTCTTATCGGCACCCCTTCTCTCGACCCCTACGCCTTTGTGCGACGCTGAATCACCACTACCTCCACATCCACCACCACTACCACCATCTCTACCACCGACAGCCACCCTGTGCAACCTCCCGGTCAATGACGTCATAGCACAGTGGCGGCAACATCTCCCCGGATTCTGACGTCAGTGCACCAACTGTGTCTACCGACCAGTTGTTGTTAACTCTTACGCTATCGTATGACCCTTTCACTCGTCCATGATCCGAAATGCACACGTAATGGTGCACTATAAGGGGTCGCGAAACTATCGTCGCTCCTCTCGAGTGAAGCACGAAGCTCGAGAAGGTAGCTTCCGGTTCCCGACCTTTACTTCCGAGAGTGTACAGCTGGGTGGCGTCATCGATTTACCTCAACGACGGCGCTGACGATTCTCCTCGTCGTTGGCGGTCGAGTTACAGTGTGAATATCACCTGACGCGATATATGCAGATTTAGAAAGTAGCGTCTGGTAATTGCACACGGGAAGAAAAGTTTGATTGGATCAAACAAATTTCTGATGAAATACGAACAAACCAGAAATTCATATTTTGCCGGAAATTTCGTTGGCCCAAGCTAACGTTTTTTCCATGCAAATATTTCGTAACAAACGCCATTCTTACGGATTACTTCCTTATTCAGTAATGACTTGGTCTTCTGATTATCTGATAACGTTATCAAATAACATTAAACTTATCTGTTTTATTAGTGACAGTAATGATACCAATTGCATGTTTTGAATAGCGGTAACGACGGTAATTTAAGACTTGGTGAAGAAAATAACGAAACTTGTGACGACTCGTTACTTTCTGAGCACTGATAATTTTGACAAGTTAGTTTCGCAAATGGATAAAGGTAATTAATTAATACAATTAATTTCCTCAATGGGCGATGAGCAACAATATCGAATTACTTTAAAAAAATTATTTTCTCAATATTTTCTTTCTGAATATATTTAGTATATCACTGCGAGCACGTTCCTATATATACTGGGAATTGTTTGCAAGGAAGGTTGAAGATGATCGAAGAATCACTGTTGCCAGGAGAATGTGCTGAATTATGACAACTAATGATATAAATGATGCTGGAAGAATACGCTGAATTACGACAAGTAATGACATAAATACATGTCCGTATTTATAGTCAGGCCTTATAATTAAGGCTTCCTTAAATTCATCTTCAGATGCTCTGTAGCCAATAAAATGATCCGTAGAGCATCTGAAAATGAACTTAAGAAGGCCTAAAATATAAGGCTTGATTATGAATAAGGCTCGCATTTATAGTCATTATTTGAAATTTGTCTCACTCGTTAAGATACTCCCGTGAGACACTCAGATCTGCATTTAGAGTTAGATTTGAGTTTTTTTATTGAAATCGTATAATGTACACGACATTATATTTGTAGTCGCGATTCAGCCGAAAAATTCTCGTTAATCTCTAAATTCAAATCTGAATATCTCACTTGAGAGACGGAGTTTAAGCTATAACTATTAATACGAGCCTAATTGTCTCGCTTGAAGCTAGTTTAAAGTAACGACTATTGATACGGTTCTAGAGCCTGTATTAATAGTTGTCATTTGAAACTGCCTCACATGCGAAGTACTCAGATTTTTATCCAGAATTAGATCCAAATTTATCACCTGAATTGCGATATATGTAATGTTTACGTGTGTAGCCGCGATTCAATTGAAAAGGCTCTCTCATTCAACTCTGGTTTCAAATTCACGTGTCTCATTTGTGATGAATTTCAAGTAATGACTATTAATACGAGCCTTCACCCTCGATCCTACGGGTCAAAGGATAATATAGTCAATGTATGTACAAAATGGGAAGGGGGGGGCATTGTTCTTTTCCCACATTTTTTCTCTCTTAAGTCTCGCTAAATATTGCTTTATCCGTTATCCTCGCTGTGAATGGAGAGATCCTCGGGCTGATAAACGGGAATTTTTCTCAGGCAACGTATAAATCATCCTCGCGAGGCCGCGCGCGATATTCGAGGGAACGATTTGTTGAATTCCCGCGTCTGCTAATCCGATTTTCGCAGACGAATCGCTCGCGGGAATTTGCGTGGAGCGTACCGCTCTTAGCGCGCCGGTAAAATTGCAGAATAAATTTCGCAGCTCGGTTGATCGTCACGCGGCACCGTCGATGCGATTGATGATGGTTTGGAGAACGAGGACTGCAGCGAAGGGCTCTCTCTCTCTTTCTCTCTCTCTCTCTCTCTCGTTAGAGAGCTAACGGCGTCGTTGTTGTCTTTTCCTGATTAAAACGACGGAATAATTCGCGAACGGCGCGAGTAAAATTGCTCGTCGGTCACTTTTGCACGTTATCAAGGCGGCTTGACTTGTTTTTCTCATGTTGACGCTCATTTGCGAAAATGATGACGCTAACGACGAGTATTTACAACGATTATTCACTTGACGATGACACACGGATGTCCCTCCTCCATTGTGCTGAAGACAGTCTGTCAACATTTTCTTGCCGTGTAGAAATCGCGTTGGTTCAATACGACGCCTCTATTAGTCCGTGACCGTTGTTATCGCAGACGTAAACATTGCGATTATCAACGACAATCGTCGTGTTTTCCCCGAGGAGCCCTTGTTGAAGTTTTGCTTCTACATCAATCCTGTAAATTCGATCGAACTTGAAGAATCCAATGAAGCACGGAAAAAAAGGTTTGGTTGGATTAACCAATTTCTGATAAAATATATATAAGCTAGAAAGTTTCGATTGATATTACCAGAATTCTGTTTAAGTTAATCAAAAATCTTGTTAACACGAACAGAATTCTGATAACTTTAACTGGAATTTCTGGTTCATACATATTTTATCAGAAATTTGCTTAATCCAGCCAAATTCTTTCTCTTCAATGAGACATAACAATATGTAAACTACTTATTATCTTACTTTGACGCTACAAGTGATTATTTACCGCCGTTTTCTTTATGTTGAGTTTCGGAGAGAGAGAGAGAGAGAGAGAGAGAGAGAGAGAGAGAGAGAGAGAAGCGCTTATTTGAAAATATTTAACATTCGATTCTCTCAATATTTTACTTGCATTGAATTTTTATTCTTAATTTCTATGGGCAATATATTTAATGATAACAGATCAGTAAGGCAAGATGAGAGCTTATATAATGCTGTATGTCCATTTGTTCTTCAAGTCCAGGATAAAATTTGCAAGATTGACATAGAACTAGAATTTCTCTTAAATCCGCTTGTTCGCATAGCAAATTGCACAGCCGCGAATCGCGCGATTATAGCAGTCGGCGATTTTCCCACCCCCACGTTCTCCTTCTCCTCCTCCTCTTCCTCCTATTGAGGACGAACCGTACGTTCGATCTTGGCAATGACGTAACTCGCATAATACCGCCGTAGTCGCGAACGTCATTGTTCGTCTCGCTATCGACTCCGAGACACCACGAAGACAGCGACATTGCGCAACCCTTCGCCAAGGTCGAAGGGTGCGATAACTACTCGAGGGAGTCGTGACTTTCCTTTTGTTGTTTTTTGATACTATTACAGAAGCACAGAGGTAACATTTTAATTAAGGTTGATCCGCGATAAAAACACAGAGCTGTTCACGAGAGTTCGCAATGGAAGGGGCTTTAATGATTGACTCGAGTTAATTGAAAATACGTGTACCTGATATATTTCCGTTTGATCAACAATCAACAGATCGCGAACTTGCAATTGTGCTTCCTTGTTCTATGCGAGGAAGATCAGTTCACCGTGAAGTCGCAGCGACACTCCAAGCTGATTGAGTCGCTCGCGTTATCGCGCTTTTACGATAATAATATAGCATATTCTTATGAGAAATAAATAACTAAAATAATTAAAGTAAGAAGAACGTTTCCGCCGAGTCCCTAATTCTCATACGTGATCGCGATTATTTCCGGAATCGTCCTCCTGCCTGATCGATTGTCCGAGCAATTGCAGTCAAACCAATTTCATGGCTCAAGCTCGAAGCCGTTACCGTAAAAATAGACGACAAAGCCATCTCGTTGCGCCGACTCCGAATGAACGGCTAGAATTCGTCGTGATATTTCTACCCGATTACTATTCGGGACTATGAACGAATCACCACCGGGTAGACCATCGAAAATCGATACTCCGATTCGATCCACCGGTTGCCGCTCTCTGACATAATGTAACGTAACATAACATAACATAATGCAATGTGACATGTCGTGACGTTATGTATAACAAAACAGCTTTGCGATTGAAGTGATAATGAGATAGGTGCGCTTGAGTGACATGAGATCAGAGTCTCGACGATCGGTTCTCCCGAGTTCCTCCGCGAGAATTACGAATCGGATGGCGATCTCGCGGACAGGATGACAAGATGACAGACAAACTTATATGGTAGGCGCAGTAAACCGTAGCGTTGAACGACAATGACGAAGGAACGATTGGCGATTGGGGCGATTACGCATCTTGATCACCCCATTCGAACTCCTCGCCGCCGGAGGTGACCTCCTCGATTTGCACCGCGTCCTCGGTAACTACCGGCTCCTCTTGCGGCTTACTCTCGGCTCCAGCCGGCTCCTCGACGAACGGCTCTTCAGTCACCTGCGCGTGCTCCTCCTCTGCGACATTCTCCTCCTCGATCTGAGAAGACGGATCGACGTCTCAATGATGTCGCCCGAGAGGCGACTGTGTGGCTACTTGTTAGAATACGCGCGTTAGAATACTTCTCACCCGTGTGTCGTCATCCGTAGTAACGTCATAAGGCTTCTCCTCCTTCTGCTGATCGGTCACTTCGTCATTCACCGGATCCTCCGCGCAGCTGACGTCTTTGGGCTCGTTCTCCGCCGGCAGCATGACTTCCGTCATTCTCTCTTCCTGCTCTTGTTTTTGCTGCTGAACTTCCTCGAGATGCTCCTCGACTATCAGCCGCTCTTGCTCCTGTATCAGCGCGTTGAGCCTCGTCTGGTTGATTATCCTGTGTAAACAAGTATCGATGCCCGGATAAATATTGTAAAGAACCGCGAAGCTCGCTCATCTTACGCCCGAGAGGATGTCCCGGACTGTTTAACGATAGAAATTCACGCACGCGAGGCTCGCCTCATCGGGAACGATTTTAGGTCGTGCAAGGGTTCTCTTCCCCGGAACCGCTTCGAGCAGCGAGTTTACCTTTCCTCCTCGACCACCTTCTCCGCTTCCTCAAGCTCCGCTTCTAGTTTGGCCTCCTCCACCTTCCTCTCGGCTTCCTGCCGCTCATTCTCAAGTATCTCGCCTAGCTCTGCTTTCCGTTCCTGCGCTAGCTGCAACGCCTCCCATGACTTCTCCTCTTCCAGCTCGAGCTGCACGCGTTCCGCTTCCGCGACCTTCCGCCTCTCTTCCTCCGTCCTTTTGCGAAACAAAGTTACGTGAGATCGCGAAACGCGAATGCTCGGGTGCGACGGGCTGACTCGGATCGCACGGTCAAGTACGATAACAAGTACTTATAATTGATATATGGTACTTATAACTACTAATTTTTAAAGAATTGTATAATAATTTTTAGAGAAATATATTCCGGTCATAATTCTGTATAGTCTGAGGTTACAAAAATTTTATCGTAATTTCCACTACAATATTTCCTCCGTGTACTTGCGAGAGAGGGGAAAGCTTGTGTTTTCCGATTATTCGGAATTTCGAGGATTTCGAATGAATTCTGTGAGGGAATTGATGGGAGAAAACTGAGATTGCGGTATCAAGCTTGCGGTCGAATATATTAATTATCGCAAATCGCGCAAGGTGATCGGAACGATTAATCTTTCATCGATAGATTGATATATAGTATAATACTTATAACAAGTACTTATAATTGATATATGGTGTACAGAAAATATCGTAGTAAAAATTACATTAAAATTATATTTCTTTTACGATGTTTCTTGTAAAAAGAGCTGAACTATACTGAAATTGTAGTACATTACTGTAAAAATGGTAAATTTGTGACAATCTTTCTGGTATATGATGAAAATACATTCAAGTAATTACAATAATTCCGTGGTAAAGGGTCAAACGTGCATAAAGCTCAAACGCGTCAGTCCTTCTTGTTCCTATCGCGTTTGGATATAATGTGACATGACTCGATGAGAGATGTGACATGCCAAGCTCTGGAAGTGGCAGGTTAATGAATAATTGCCATTCGTAATGACACGAATATCCAGAGCTCGAGTAAACAATTAGGAAGATTTGTGAGTTGCGATCTACTAAATGAAGGCTTTATTGAAGCTTTTTAATAATTTTTAAAGAATTGTATAATAATTTTTAAAGAAATATATTCCGGTCATAATTCTGTATAGTCTGAGGTTACACAAATTTTATCGTAATTTCCACTACAATATTTCCTCCGTGTACTTGCGAGAGAGGGGAAAGCTTGTGTTTTCCGATTATTCGGAATTTCGAGGATTTCGAATGAATTCTGTGAGGGAATTGATGGGAGAAAACTGAGATTGCGGTATCAAGCTTGCGGTCGAATATATTAATTATCGCAAATCGCGCAAGGTGATCGGAACGATTAATCTTTCATCGATCAGCGGGAGTGATTTGTCCTCGAAACACGCGAAAGTGAAGAATTGGTCACGGATCGTGTAGCGAGTGATTTGGCTGATTGAGTTCAAAGCTGACGTCACAACAACCGCGTTACTTCTTACATGTATAGGGCGGTTGTTTTCGTTCGCTCGCGAACATACAAAGCTTCAATAAAGCTTTCATTTAGTAAGCCGAAACCCACAAGTCTTCCTAATTGTTTGCTTAAGCTCTGGATATTCGTGTCATTGCGACTGACGATTATTCATCAACTTGCCATTTCGACAGCTTGACATGTCATATCTCATCAAGTCATGTCACATTATACCCAGACGCGATGGGAACAATTAAAAGGACTGACGCGTTTGAGCTTAATAAATGTAAGGCTTCGTTAGAGCTTAATGCACGTCGTGTCGAGCGTATCGTTTCCAAACAAAAGTCACTCACTGCGCTTCCCGAGCCACTTTGCGAAGGTACTCCTCGGCTCTCTTGATGGCGTCCTCCTTCTCTTGCCTCACTGCAACATGGTGTTCGATTAGAATCCCGAGAATAGGAAGAAAGAGGTACGCAGCGCAAATGTTCTCTCTATTGTGCGCAGTTCAGACGAATCTATAAAGAAGAAAGGAAGAGACAGTGACGAAAAAAATGAAAGAAAGTAAAGAAAGCCGACACCGTCGCTCTTGAGTGAAATCTTGGATGCGCTTTGGAAAAATTCCAACCAATTTCGTATTCGTTAATTCAAACAGCTCCAAAGGGAGCACGCTTTTCTCGAACACGAGAACGTTTATCCGGTGGGACGGGGAGGAGAGAGGGGCAGGGGGGGGGAGGAGCGCACGCGACTGTGAACCCACCTCCAATATCGATTTCTTATTACGTAAGGCAAGTCCTATCGAGGAATGTCGTTACGAAGACGAGAGGACACATTTCGCGAGACGATCCCGGCGTCGTTCTCACGGGGAGCACATTTATCACGCAACGAGAAAGGGCCATCGGACTCTATCACTAGACACATTCATCTTCGTGCAGTCGATGCGAGATACTGTTAACAACGACACAAACACGAACAAAATCGATCGAGCTCTGCCTACCGGCAGAGAGGGTATCCGCCGCGACAAGCTCGCGTTTCCCGGCTGCCGAAACAGAATTCTTTCGGTCCGGTTCGGAGTGTCGGCTGTGAGATATCAACGTACCCTTTTCGTCCTCGCACTCCTTAGCTTCGTCACTTACAGCCTGCGCGCCTTCGCTCGGCGCGACGTTCTCCGCGATCGGTTCCGCCGGCACTTCCGGCTCTGCTGCGCTCTCCGGCTTCGCCGCTGGTTCCGGTTCCGGCGGAACAGGCGCTGCTTCCTTCACGGGCTCTGGTTCTGGCGCGGGCTCCGGTTCTTTCGCGGGCTCCGGCTCCTTCACAGGCTCCGGCTCCTTCGCAGACTCTGGCTCCTTCACGGGCTCCGGCTCCTTCGCGGGTTCCGGCTCCTTCGCAGGTTCCGGTGCTTTCGCGGGCTCTGCTGACGCTTTGGGTTCGGCCGCTTTCGCGGTTTTCGCGGCTTTAGCAGGCTTCGAACCTTTCGCTGATTTCGACGGCTTTATCGGCGCCGGCTCTGCGACTACCTTCGGTGGCGGTTCGGCTATCGGTTCTGGTTCTTTTGCAGGTTCCGGTGTCGGTTCGGGCTCTTTCGCTGGTTCCGCCTCAGGTAGCGGCTTCGATTCCTTCTCAGCTTCCGGCTTCTTTTTCGCTTTCTTTTCTGGCTTGACTTCCGGCTTCGGCTCCGATTTCGATTCGGGAGCGGGCTTGTTAGCTACGAGGTGTACAGGGTGAACGTGAACGAGAGACGACACGGGGGGATCGTTTTGGATCTTGTGATTTTGCACGGGGACTTACTTGTCTTCTCCTGCTGAGGCGTGTACTCTTCGCCTAACGCGCGTGCTAAAATTCGTGAGAAGACATGAGAACACGGTTGATACGAGGGGATGGAGAGGCACAGTAGAACGGACATCGACTGGGCTAACATATCGATCGTACGCTCACTTTACGACCGTTTCCCGGCGTTGTCGGTAAGAAATCACGTCCCCACAATCACGATTGTTTGCAATTGTCAAGGTTCTACTGCACTCTACTGCAATTACACGCATTATCGGATAAAGAAGATCCATTGGCCGTAGTTATGCAAGAATGATCCGACCCGCATGCAGTACATTTCGGAAAAAAAATGATAATTAAAACGTGATACATAATCTTAAAAGTATAGATTTATCGCAAATGAGATTCATCGCAATCGTTCATGTATAAGAAGTCAAGCATGGCCAATTTTCTTCTCTTCAAGGGTATTCAAGATAACTCTTGAATAAAGAGGACAAGTAGTAAAAAATGATGTAATTAGTAGTAACAGATGTAACAAATATTAAAAATTGTTTTTTGATTAAGTTTGAACGTTCGGATCTTGTTTGTCTCATGTAGAAGGACGTATGGACTATCCGTCGGTAACGAATACTCCAAAATCACAATCTACGGTTGATTTGTAGGTTGGATCATTCTTGCATAACTATGGCCAATTGCTTTGTGCCTACTGACCCTTTCGCAACTCTCGATCCGTCAAGTGTTGACCTGGGCCTGTGTGACCGTGAGCACATGAAACACAAAGGATCGATTAACGACAGAGGATCCTCCCGAAGAACTCGCAGTGTAGACCCAAGAATGTAAAAGAAAGCTCCACAGGACTCTACGCTACGAATGTGAAACAAGCCGTTACATGCAACACCGTGTGTGGATTCAGCGCTGAGCATTGATCGACGAAAATCCCCTTCGGCTGAAGTGATCGGCAAATCAATAATGGAAATTCATCATGTCGTCATGTGAAATCACAGTGATTTCATCGACGAAATTATTTGTTGATCTAATTTCCTAATATATATATACAGGGTATAGCAAAAGTACCGGAACGGCAAGAAATAGCGGCGGGGGAGCATTTTAGAGAAAAATGTTTCGAATAAAAGTTGTAAGGCTTAAAAAGTCACATTTAATAACAGTAGTTATTTGACCTAAGATGACGTCGCCAAGGTCAGGACAAGGTCAACTTTGCTTTTTTAAATAGAAATACATACTTTTTATTACGGCATTTTATTTTACGTGAAAAAGCAAACAACTTTTGCTTGAAAAAATTTTGTATACGACCTCTATTTTCTAAGATATTTACGTAAATAT